ACTCAGTTACTTACTGATGATGGCTTAGAGTCAACTGTATTTTGGAGGTTTTTAGCTACCAGGGACAGTTTAGCAGTGACAAGAAGAGAAAACATTAATGTTTCTCCCATCATAGCTGAGTCAGCTTGAATGCATTTAAATGAGTTAATTTTTAAAGTACTGAGTGATAGAGATGCCGTGATGGTCCAGGAAATGTGCAAGAGGCAAGAATTTTTGCAGGTGATCTTTTATTGGACCAGCTGCATGGTTGGGATTGACATAGGCAAGCTTTTGGGTATCATGGTACCCTTTTCTGAGAAACTTGAGAAAAGGGTACTGTGATACCCAAAGGCTTAATTTTAAAAGTTGGTCATTACTTTTGCCACAGATTCCAGGAGAAACAGTGGGATATATTTAAAGATCTTACAAATGGATTACAATGACAATATTTGTCTGGTAAAATGATGAATGTTTATCAATGAAAGACAGAAATACATACATTTAGAGTAAAATAAACAATATCTTTCTCAGCCATCTGCTGGTAACAGGCTTTCAGATTCAAAACAACCATCTAAATAGTAGTGGGCAAAACACAGCAACTAATGAAGTTTTCCACTACCGTTATTTTTGTAAACGTTACATTAAACTTTCAGAAATATTTCAGGCTAGATGCCCAACTGTGCTGACCTTGCACACAGAGCAGATGTAAAACATGGAGATGGTGACTCCAGAGCTCCCAGACAAACACTTATTGCACAGTGGCATGCAATCTCAGGGGACTGGACTCTGTTTCAGGTGGTCCCTTCCAGTCCCATGTTCCTGTAAGTTTCTAATGGAAGCTCTAGTTTATATCAGTTGGAACAGCTCCATCAAACAATGGATATATCTACACCTAAAAAAGGACAGAATATCAGACACTTTGCTCCAGACAATCTAAGGGTATGTCTACAGAGCAAACAGAACATGAGATGCAACATGTGCTAGTATATATGTACTAGCTTCTTTTAGCTAGTCTAGGTAAAAAGAGTAGTGCAACATAGAGGCATGGAATTTGGTAGCCATTCAAATACAATCTCCTGAGAGACCTTGGGCATGTGCTGTTCACTAAGCCTTGTGCCATTCTGTCTTCATTGCTATAATTACCTTAGCTGCTAGAGGGTTTGTTGGCATGTGTTTCAATCATACCTTCAATTTGCCCTACAGACATACCCATGGATTGACAGAAACAGCATGTCTTGGCTTCTGACCTGTTTGTTCACCTCCAATATACCCATATGACCATGGGTGAGTTGGGAGGGGCCTAAAGGGAAACTGCTGACCACACCTTTTAAGAGACCACTAAGTCTCCTCAGCTTTAACTTGTTCAAGCTGTCGGATTATTTTTTTTCCAGAAAAGAATTAAAAAAATACTGTATGATCTTGTTCAATTTCTTCTAAATAATAGATAAATACTTTTGCAAAATTAAAGATATAAATAGACAGATTCAGTTTGATATTAGTTCTTTCACAGCCAGATGAGGTGGTCAAGACAAAGGAGTAGATCAGGTACATCTACAAAAACACAACAGCTGCCTACCCAGAAGCTTCTGGTACAATCCTCTGAACTCCATCTAGGTTGATCAAATAACCATAAGAAAAGTATAGCTACAAGAGACCTCAGGAGGTCATCTAGACCAACCTCCTGATCAAGGCAGATACAAGGCAGTTTAAACTATCCCAGAAAAGTGTTTGCCTAACTTGGTCTTAAAAACTTCTGAGGGAGTTCTACAACCTCTCCAGGCAGTCTGTTCCAATGCTTAATCATCCTCATAGCTAGAAAGCTCTTCCTAACATCCAACCTAAATTTCCCTTGTTGAAAGTCAGGACCATTTCTTGTCCTGCTCCTTGAAGCCACAGAAAATAGTCAAGGGGATCACAGTCACTTAGGGCAGAATCTATGTGCCTCCAGGTCTGCTCATACTGGCAATGCTTTGTGTAAGCCAAGACTTGCTGTTAGCAGTCCCCCAGGAATGGAAAAGACTTCCCTATTGGTCACCTGATAAATTTGGTGGCCACACCTGCATGAGACAGTCCAAGATTTTGTCTGTTCCTACAATTTTTGCACCTGGACCCAAAGACCTAGTGGGTTCCTCCAGCCTCTTCCTGTTTCTTCCCACCCATGGTGTGGTAGTTCACTAGCCTTTACTGTAGAGATGCCCAAATCTAACAGCTACTCCACAATCCTGATGATGACAGATTGGTTAGCTAAAATGAACCACTTCATGCCGTGCACAGGTCTTCCCTCAGCCAAAGATACTGCCCAATTATGGTTTGATCACATGGTTCACCTTCATGATCTCCCAGACTATATAACCTCCAATCATGGGCCCCAGTTTGTTTCCTGACATTGGCATGAGGCCCTGCACCTGCTGGGAGTCCATGCCCAAGTCTCGTCCACATACCATCCACAAACAAATGCTTAAGCAGAGAGAACAAATCACATTCTAGAGCAGTACCTCTGGTGCTACTTCAATTTCCAACAGAATAACTTGGCTTCTCTGCTAGTACTCAGAGAGTTTACCTACAACAACTCCTCAACTGGATGCCAACAACTCCTCAACTGGACAGATGCCATCCTTTGCCAATTATGTGTTCCACCCCCACATACACCCCGCTCTGCTCATCACCTCTGATAATCCTACAGCTATGGACTGGGTACAACACAGGCAGGAGATCTAAGAAGAACTAAAAACCTGTTTCAAAAAGGCAAAAGAAATATACAAACAACATGAGGACCTTATGAAGTTCAACGTCGAGAAATGTAAAGTGCTCCACCTGGGGACGAACAATCCCCTGCATACCTACAGGCTTGACAATGCCAACCTGACCAGCACTATGAATGAGAGGGACCTGGGGTTAATAACTGATCACAGTATGAACATGAGCTGGAAGTGCAACACTGTAGCTAGCAGGGCGAACAATACCCTGGCATGCATCAATCGATGCATCTCCAGCAAACCCAATGAAGTGATTCTCCCACTCTACTCAGCATTGGTGAGGCTGCAGCTGGAGTACTGCATCCAGTTCTGGGTGCCGCACTTTTAACAAGGATGTGGTAAAGCTTGAGAGAGACCTGAGAAGGGCCACCCATGTGATTAGAGATTTGCGTGGCAAGCCACATGAGGAAAGGCTGAGGGACCTGGGACTCTTCAGCCTGAAAAAAAGAAGGCTGAGAGGGGACTTGGTAGCAGCCTACCACTACATCAGAGGCATACATCCAGGACTTGGAGAACAACTGTTCACTAGGGCACCCTTGGGGAAAACTAGGAGTAATGACCACAGACTCCTGGAAGACCATTTCAGGCTCAATGTTAGGAAAAACTACTTCACAACTAGGGTGTCCAGACTGGAATAAGCTCCCTCCAGAGGTGGTACAATTGCCTACCCTGGAAATCTTCAAGAGGACACTGGATGGTCACCTTGCTGGGGTCACCTGACTCCAGTTGTCTTTCCTGCTTGGTGCAAGGGGCTGGACCCAGTGATTTTCTGAGGTCCTTTCCAGACTTACAATTTGTGAAACTATGAACTTCAGCATGAGCCTGCTTCCTCAGTAGGACAGAAGATATGGCTGTCAGCAGAACACCTCTGCACCCACTGATCCTTACAGGTACATCAGCCCCTTCCATAACACCTGACACATTAATCCAGTCACCTTTGAACTGCAATTCCCACCAAATACTGAAAATCTATCTGGTATTTCACATGCCCCTATTGAAGCTGGATGTGGAAAACTCACCCCCTCACAAACCTCAACCTTCTTTACCACCCATAATGGTTCATGGCCAAGAAGAGTACTTATGAGGACCACTCAGGAAAGCCTGATGAGCACCCCTAGAAGGTTTGGGGGAAGGGAGGCTGCAATGTCAAGCTGTGGCCTTCAACTTGGGGCACTGGCCTGCCTGGCACAGCTGCCCATTCTGGTTTGCCCCCTCCTCAGCAAAACACGAGGGAAGACACAGGTAGCCAGAACCCTCCATCTGGGCCTAGCTATACACTCACTCCTTGTCACAAGGGTGGCCAGCCAAGGTCAGCTGACTCTTCACCTCTTCCAATATAAATCCCTGACCTGAAAGAGGAAGTGTTTTGGCAACAAGGCTCAAACTTGTACCTAGTGTGATGTTTTGGCTGGTACATGAATGACTTGTGCCCCTGGCAGTTAGGGGGCACTGCGGCGGGAGCACGGTGATGACGGTGGCAAGTGGGGCTGGCATCAGCGGTGGTGGCCAGCAGGGATTTGCATTACAACAAAGAGTATAGATATCTGTTTGCTTGTGCTGCCATAATTTTGTTTATGGTGGCATAAAGTGACACGCAACAGACCTGCCTTCCAACAGACCTACCTTCCTCTTGATACTTTACCTCAGAACAAACGTATGTCTCTTCTATATATAAGGCAACACCACCACCTTTTTTCTGTCACCCATCCTTCCTTATACCATCCATTACAGTATTCTAGTCACATGAACTATTTCACCAAGTCTCAGTCAACTCAATATTATCATATTTTTGTGATTATACTAGGACTTCCAGATTTTTCCTGTTTAGTCCCCATGCCTCTTACATTATTTTATAATCACCTTGGATGACTAGCCAATTGTCCTGTTACTTTTCCTGACAGCATTGTTAATATTTCCCATATTTTTTTCCCTGGGCTTTTGTCTGGGTCCACTTGCTCTTTTAGGTTGCTTGTGCTCTCTCTCCCTCTCTCTCTAAATTGCATGTGAAATTTAGGCCACAATTAGTGAGCCACTTCCACTATACAAATGCTTACTTCTGCTGGAGATAGTAGATAGTACCAATGTATTTTCTATCTATTTCTTAAGGAAGCTAAATAACCTCCTTCATATGTAGGTATAGAATGTGTGGTGTCAAATGGAAAAACTGAAGACAGACAGAATAAGTCATGAATCTTCCATTACCTCTATCTTCAAAATGAAGAACTTTCAAAGAAGAAATTTCAGATATACAAAATTTGAATTTACCGGCAATGAATGAAGTCAGGAACAGGGTTGTGCTGGCTGAATGATGCTGCATCTAGGTTCATGCAAATTTCCACATTATCCCCAGCCATGATTCGCACAGCAGCTTTATTTTCATCCTCAAATGTTTGTCTTTGCAAGGATGCACACAGCAGCAACATGAAATCATCTAGACAGACGAAGATGCTGTTAGCTCACATTTCCAGTGCAGAATACTGAGTACTTCTGAGAATATGCCATAATGTAATTATTGCATAGTATTTCATAAAATTAGATTGCATTATCTACAATGAACAATTATGACATTACTTGATTTTATTTTCACCTATTTCAGCCACTTTTATTTTTATGTAAAGAGAAAACAGGAAAGAAACAGAATTCAAAGCATCTGTTAAAAGTTAGACAGCAGCAGATACATAAAATTCTGAGCATTTGAATTTATTGATTATATAAAAACACAGCTACAATATAATGCCCTATAGAATACATAAGCTTGCTCTTGAAGGCGCAGTTTTGGTTTCAAATTTCAGTACACAAAAGCATCAAGTGAAAGGCAAGTAAATACCTCTCACAACTCTTTGCTAAATACTTACAGGCAAGAAAGACAGGATTTGGTCTCACAATGAAGTCTGGGAAGTATAACCACTTTATGATATTGGAGTTGAAGCTAGTCTGAGGGTTTCTCCATGGGTAGTCTACACAAGGAAAAACATGAAAACATGTAATCAATAGTTCACAACAATTACTTCATCCTTTTTCTGTCAATTTTCCAGCACTTTCCAGTAAGAGCAAATGGCAATAACTGGCCATAAAGGTCCTTTACCTTTACAAAAACCTTTACAAGGTCCATTATCTTAACTGGTCTTTACCTTTACACGGAGCAGGTGGAATGCCAATACAGAGGAAGTACTGGAATATAATGATGCATCCTAGAAAACAGCAATACTTTGGCCAGATCTCTGCAATGGCTTTTCTTCTGCGTCGATATAATACAGCAATTAACCAGAAGGCATGAATCATGGCATAGAAATCCATTCGTTGACCAATAACATTAACTGACATTAGGAAACAAGTCTAGGGGAAAAGGAAAGAAAAAATGTGCAATATTTACAGTCCCTACAACAGTTAGATAATGAAATAGCTTTCCATTAAATATAAAACTTAGAATGCAGGTAAATTAAACTCTTGAATGCAGCATAGTTCATATTCTTTTATCAGCACCCTTCCCCCGTGCTGTGGATATTATTCTACCAAATTTAACAATCCCCCTATCACAGTAGAAGAAATAAGACTTTCATGGTACCAAAACATAAAATGGACAGGGCATTATCACAATAAATTAGGCAGGAAACACATAATATCTGCCAAGTAAAGTCATATTACATAGCCTTATAGGTTAAATATAGACAGTCAAAAAGCCTGAGGCTGAATTGATACAGTCTTCCCAGATTAGTCTAAGCCATGTAGATTGAACCAAAAAGCAAGTGAACATTCACTTTTGATTCCAGAAGTGCAGCCACATGCATGCAGTAGACCAGGCCAGAAGCCAGGGGATGCTAGAGCATACCTTCCTGCTCAACTGGAGCAGACAGCTTGGGCCAAGGCTAGCCTGCCCACCTTGTGGGGGGGGAGAGGCGTTGTAGGGGAGGTGCAAAGCATCCTGAGATGCTGGGGGGCTGTGAGGTAACTTGGATCTGGAAGGGATCTTGGACAGAAGTTTAAAAAACTGATTGAACTTAAACAGTAAAGTCTGATGCTACAGGTTTATCTACCAGTTTTGACAATTTTGATGCTACCAGTTTTGACCATTTTG